ATGAAATAGTTCTTTATAACTGGGTGGTCTCCCAGCTCAAGTGCACACTCAATGCTCCCACAAAAGCGAAAAATTACTGAACATCTCTACTGTCTTTGAAAAAGCGTGGTCCCTACTACTCAGGATTACTCAGTTTACCTGATGTCCTGGTTTGCACTTCATCATATGGGTCATTTTTGGGTTCACAGGGTACCTTGGTTTAAGGTAGACCAGGAATCGAGTGGAAAGAGGGGTTGCAGGCTGAGAACTGGTGTCCTGGGGGAGCGAGGGGGAGCCGAGGGCGATGATGGGAGACAGAGGTGGAAAGAATGGAGATACAGCTGTCAGAGGCGAGGTCTCCATGTGGCCAAGGGCAGCTGGTGCCAGAGGCACAGGGTGCCCCTCCCAGTGATGGACTCTCAGACATTTTTGAGAGCATTGCTTATTTCAAAAAGACATATTTATTATCACAGAGGATTAAAGCAATACGGAAACCCCAGTTAATTTAGGAAATATGGAAATAACTATAAAATAGATTGAACAAAATACCAAATATCCAAAATCACTGCAATATAGTTATTGAGTGGAAAATATTGATTTCTCACACCACAAATAGGGGACCTCACTTCACGCTCATATTTTTCTACTTTGCACACATTTTTATGGTGAGAGAGAACAAAATCCAAATCTGAACGGCCGCTCTTTCCTATGCTTCTTTTGAAGGGAGGGCCAGCCTCTTGGTTTCCGGGGGGTGGGTTCTTGCTCTGCTTGGGCGCTGGCTGAAGCTGGAGAAAGGAAGCTGAAAGGGCCCTGAACACTGCACAGCACAGCACTCAGGAGGCAGCGCTTTCTGGGCAGAGAGGGAGTAACCACAGGGAGGCTATCCAGGAGGAGGTTGAGCGGAGCTCACCTAGGAGCGAGCCATATGTATCGGTACTTGCTGTAGTGATAGCTCAGTCACGTGCTGCAAACTGAAGTGCCTCCCAAGTGCTCCCATACATTCAGCTTGCTCACGGGTGCAGCCTCATCTATCAGTCATTGCTGCATCCGGTAATACACACAGAGCACACAGTGCCAGTTCACACGAAGACAGCCATAGCCTAAGCATGGATTTGCTCAGCTCTCTGGGGACGTGGAGAGGGGATCCCCCCAGGGGACAGGGAGCCTGAATTTATGGGGTTTGAGGCCTTGGGCTCAGCAGTATTCCTCTCCACATTTTTTTATTAGTGCATCGGCTACACAGATTAATGGGTTTTATCTCGACAGGTTGGTACATGCACATACCGTACTTTAATCATTTCGGGTGGTCAGTATTTTTTATTGCTTAATTTCTGAAATGGAGAAAAATGCCTGATTTGCCTGAAGGCCAGTGGGTTTGCTCTGGATATCTTTACTTTTAAATTTTATGGTATTATAATTTTAGAATGTTTTGGGTTGAGTCATGTTTTACTAGCATAGTCTTTTCAAGGAGATAGTCTTGGATTCAAGTATTCTTTTGCAACACTTTTGGAAGGTAATGTCAAGAGTGCTCCTTAATATGTCTCTCTTTCTGTTTCTTCTTTTATAAGGTGAGTATCTCGTAGTTTGTAAAGCACTTAGCATGGTTCCTGACCCACAGAAACTTCTCAATAAATGGAAAATATAAAAACAAACACGTATAATCATATGGCTTGAAAAAATTAGCTACTCAACTCCAGGAAATCCAGGAACTCCAGACACTTCAATCTAACAAGTTTGTCCTGATGTATGGAATTATGTTTGTGGACCTCTTTGGTTCTTACACATAATAATCTGTTTCCCTTTATGCAGATGGTGATTCATTTGTACAGACTTACTAAGTTTCTCTCTACTTGAAAGTATAATTCCAAATTCATAGCAAGAAAAAATAAAATTGTTACCAACCTTCAAGAATAGAATTTGGAATAATAGATACTTCTGTGGTCTGCATATTGGTAAATTTATTCTCCCATCTTTTTGAAGTGGGCAAACATGGCAGGGTTATCTGTTCTCATGTATTCATCAAGCCAATGGCCTCTGGGATCATCTCTTCTCTCTCCCTTCTTCAGAGAGATCTGGACGTTATGCCAGCACTGGGGTCCAAGGCAAAGACCAGGAGATTTGGGAAGAATCCCTGGGATCTTCGAGGACCTCATCAGCTGGGCACATCCTTGGTAAAGCAATAGAGGATCAAATTCATGCTTAGGGTCTTTCTATTTCCTACTTTGTTGCTTGCTTCCAGTCTACTTGAAGTCTTAAACCAATTATTTTTCTTAATGATATTGTTTAAGTAACAAGTAAAACACTTGCTGATATGGATTTATGATAAAACATTCTGAAGATTGTTTTTAACTTTTAATTTTGAAGTAATGATAAAATGATAAGAAGTTGGAGAAAATACTATAATGGGTTCCCACATACCATTTAGCCAGCTTTCCCTGATGGAGAAGTCTTACATAACAACAGTACATTAACAAAACAGAAGAACTGACATTAGTACAATGCAGTTATCTAGACTGGAGAGGATATTTTAAAGAAAAAAATGTTCAAGGCTAAAAGGAAATAATTTCTGAATCTTACACAGTCCCATCTCTCTGTGTATACCTATCTTTGCATTTATCCCACTGAATGGCAATCCTGGATTAGCTTGCTGTCTTCTCCATCTGTCCCCTCAGGGCAGGGGTGTGGTGTAATCACCCTTTATTCCTACACCAGGTTCATGCACTGAGAAGGTATTTTTGGGTAACAGAATGACTTATAGCTTTGTAGGTTTCAGGGCTCTATTGTACGTGCCATCTGTGCTAAGGAGGACCATGGTCCAGGGAAAAGAGCCTGAACCAAAAGCATTACAATCCTGGCACGAAACAGCTTGAACTTTGTGACAGTTACTGAGCATCTCTGGGTTCATTCCCAGTGTGCTTCTTTGTGTTTATGTAATAATTGGGAAGGTCAAGGAGGCAATTTTTGTGACAAAGAGGCAAACACAGTGCCTCTGGGAGGTAGAGAGGGTAAAGGATTTGACTGGAATTTTACAAACTAAGGCTCCGAAAGGGTAACTTAATTGTTGAAAATCACAGAAGGTGGATGGTGGTGGAGTGAAGCCCCTCCGCACAGGCATCATGCGTGGTATCTCATTGCTTATGCCAGATAGCAGGAGAGGGGCTAGAAAGGAGCAAAGTAGAGCAAATAGTCAACCACCATGGGCAGTCGTGGAGGCCCCAGAATTTGTCTTTTGGTGTGGTAGTGGATGTGCTTCTCTGTGTGCTCAGGAGATCCTCACTTAGGCAAGACCTGGGCGATGACTGCACTAAAGGTTAGCCAACATTGTGAATGTTATTTAGGGGTCTCTGTCATATGCCCCCCCACCCTAACACCACACAGCCTGCAGTCTGGCTTGGCCAACTCTGGGGCAAGTGTTCAGGCTTTCGGCCCCTGTGCAGGGTAGGGGAGAGTGAGAACTCAGAGCTCTCAAGTACTTACATTGCCCATTAGATTTATTTTTTACTAAGAAAAGATCAAGGATTTTGACATCATCATCGTCACTTTCTATTTCTGCCCATGACAATAATTTCTCACTAACGAAAGAGCACATGTTAACATAGAATTTTTTTACTTGCCTGAAATGACTTTAGTAACACATTAGCCAAAATTGCTTCTCAACCTGCCCTGAATACCTCTTACAGATCCCAAATTCTTCATACTAGAAAGTGCATTTCAAATATTTTCCTGTGGCTTATTCAGTCTATTCAAAATTTCATTGAAATGATTTCATTGAAATTGATTTACAAGGTTTCTGGTCGTAAATGTCAAAAGCTCTGGTAGCTTAAGCACTGGGTTATAATTAGAAACATTCAATTTTTGGTGGTGATTTGTAGTTTGACTTTTCCCTCCCTTTAAAGAAAATGGGAACATCAGTAATCAAGATTAGAGAGGGAGAAAGCTAAGACTAGAATATTTCTTGGGAATTTGAAGAAGTTTCACTGATTTTGATATAGTCTCCCACCTTTGACCAAAAGGTGAGTTGGACCAAAGGCAAAGAGAAAGAGAAAAAGAGAAATAAAGTCACTTTGTCACTTTAGTAGAGTACATGCTATCAGCATTGAGACTTGGTGTTGAAAGTTACTATGAGCCATTCCTCAATAGAATATGTTAGTGTAAACAAAACTTTTGCCAACTTTTAAAAGATAGAGGACTATAAACTTGCTCATGAGATCTGAATTTGCTGAAGCTCCCATTCCCAGAACCCTAAGGTATTAAAGGTCCTCAGAAAGTTTTTGTGCTTGATTTTGGCTTTCTCATTGCTTATTACTTAGGAAACAAAAAACATTTTATTTCTACCTACATCCTACACTTCAAAAGAGGCTCGATGCACAATTCTTCTTTCCTTTGCATTAAAACAAGATTTTTGAATGAAAAGTGACCTACAGAGAGAAAGCAAGATTTATCATTCTAGGTAAAAGTGAAAGAGACAATTTGGTCTGCGTGTAGTTTTCGTTGCTTTTCCTTCTCCCTTTTTCCTCTCAAAGAACAGGGAGAAACCTTGCTAGGCAAAGAGTTCATGGGTGCACATGTGTGTCCATGCACACCTGAGATACCGAACCCTAGAGGAGGGCAAAGCTGCACAACCACACAGAAATGGAACAAATATTAAGACTTCCCCACCTGTCTTAGCGGACGTAACCCTTGCACGTACTATCTTTAAGGACTGGTACTCTTTCAGTACTATAACATTGCTTATACTATCTCTACAAATCTGTTATAAAGCATAGGTTTGTATGGCACTTTAGTCTTTATTAAACATTATGACTAGATATCCAAGTATTTCATACAAATACATGCTAGACATGTACAAGAAAAATAATTCTGAAGTGAGAGGACAATTTAATCAGAATATATATTTTAGCTTAAAAGCATAAGTGTAAGTAATGAACGTTTATGCTGATAGCATGTACTGTACCAATATACTACTTGTGATGATTTCTACAATAGTAAGGAATACAAAATTAGATGCTGAGAATACTTACAATATTTTCCGATCATTAAGATGTAGAAGAGGACAGGACCAGATGTCATTTCCTTCTTTCTGCTCATCTGATTAACGAAAGTGAATACAATTTGGTCTTGGCTTCTGAGTCGGAGACAGCTCACAGTGGTTGCCTGCTATTTCTGTCTGCAATCTTAGCAGCTATAAAGCAGCCCTCTCTCCTTGCACTTCTCTCTCCCTCCCCTCCACTCTCTTTCCCTCTCTCTCTGCATGCACTCCTCATTTTTCCTTCCTCTGTCTCAGGATCTCTCCTCCCAGGCCCACCTTCTCTAAAAATCGTAGTCTCAATATCCTTCTTTCCACAGATGCGCGCACGCACGTGCGCACACACACACACACACACACACACACACTCACGCATGCACATGCAGGAACAGACAAAGCTGAGCAGCGAGGAAAAGTTTCACACGGAACTCACAGGCTCCCCGTTCACTCTGAGCATCCAGTTTCTATGCCTGTGCTGTGAGGGTCTCCAGATAAGGGTGTACGTTGACACTGACGAATGTCTGAAGTAATCAAAGTCACTCCACTGGAAAGACATTGTGTTAGAGATAGCTCTCAATTAAAAACAAAACAAAACAACTATGGCATGGGACTAGGAAAAGAACAGAACTACTGAAGGTAAAATCCCTTTGTGAAATTAACAGCAAGGCAGGAATTAAAGTGTAGCTATAGGACTCCTTTATAATCTGCGCATATTTGAATAATAGGATATGGCTCAAAGAAAAATACAAACAAAAATTTCTAAAATTCTTCTGAGTGTCTGAATTTTGTTGCAGGAGTGACCATGCATGTGGAGCAGCCTTTCTGGGTTTGGGTTGTAGGGACGTGTTCCCCTCAGAGCTGGGGGGGTGCTGGGCTGAGACAGGCTTTCTGTGGAAACTCAGCTATCCAGGAAGACAGTCAGATGGTCAGCTTGGTGTTCCCTGAGACTCTGGTGTGGAACAGCGGAGTCTCTGAATGGCAGCCCTCAGATGACGACGATGATTCTATTATTTGATGAGCAGGGTGGGAGAGTACACAGATGCAAAGAATATTTCCGGGGAATGTATTTTAAAACCACATTGTATAATTCTTACCTTGAGACTGGATATCATATTTCTAGAACAAATTGGTAGCACCTTGCCATGTCTGTGAGGTTTATGCTTCCTCCTTGTGGATTCTACAGGAAGAATCCATTAAAATTATGTTTCTTTATTTCTCTGACTTCAATTGATTTCTAAATAAATGGAAACACCCTTCTTTCCTCCCATAGATGCAATTAATTCTATATAAAGAGAAATTTGGTATTGGAATGATCACGAATCCTTATTCATTTGGCAGTAGATTTAACGAAGACACTGTTCTTTTGGTAGTAATGCTTCTGTCTAACTGAATTTAAAAGCCAATTAAATGTTCAACATTCAGCCATCCTAGACATGTTTAAGACTCTTGTATAGGTGGTTAACAGATGATTTAATGTTTTGGAAATACTGGGTGGGAATACTGAAGGGGGCTGTGGGACGCAGGAGGGCAGGATCCGAAAGGGGACGCATACAAAGCCTCTCAAGACTAAAGCCCAGGAGCTTGCTTGGGAAACTGTCCCCACATGAAGCAAACAATCTGTGCAGAAGTTTTCAAAGTCATTCTGATGTCACTGTGTTGGCTCTGAGCCTCTGCCATAGGTGCAGCCAGTAGTGGAGCAGTCACCAGGAGGTGCTTTGTGACTCTGTATTTTTAACCTGCTCAGATCAGTGCAAAATTCAAAGTCACTTCTCACTTTATGAAGAATGTAATAGATTTTACTAAAACATATCTACTGGAAGGAATCGTTTTCTATTGGTTTTCTCAAGATGCCACTTCTTTCTTTTATTTGGCAAAAGTAAGGAATTTGGAATATGGGTTTTATGTAAGTATGTGTGCTGGTGGAAAAACCCACAAAGGTACGTTGAATCCCCTATTCCCAGCAGAAACACGGGATTCTTGAGCTGGGGAGGGACTATCCTTTGCCTCCAGGATGCTCCACAGCATCCTTGGCTTCTACCCTCTGATGCTGGCAGCTCTTGGCTGTTGTGACAATGAAAGGTGGCTTGAGACATTGGAAAATGCCCCCTTGAGGGGATAAAATCACTCCTGGTTGAGAACCACTACATTGTTGTCATTAAACTCTCTTTAATGTTTATTTAGATATTGATTTCTTAAAATCAGATACTGAAGTGGAATTCTTTTTATCTAAAATTTGAATTAAAATTTTCTCTCTCTCTTATTTTGCTGTTTGAAGATATGCATTAAAACAAACAGATGGTATATGTTCCTAGCCTTCACTTCCGGCCCACGTTGTTCAATGATACACTTGCACCAAGGGGTTCAGAGAATCTGGGATGTCAGTGTTTCTCCTTGGCTCAGGATTCTCCGAGCCTTCGATGCTAGACTGGATGCTCTAGATTGGTTCGCAGAACTAGCACCCTTAATTATCTTGGAATCTTTTCTTCAAACTGCATTGAGGGTCCCTGGATAATAACAAAGACTCCTGTTTGAAAGTTACTTCTCATGACAACCTGTGAGTCAAGCCAGGTCAGCCTTATTACCCTGCCTTCCCTGTGCAGGTCTGCAGTAACCTGTGCTCTTCCCACCCCACTCCTGGTTCTTCTGCCCCTGCTTTTGAATCTGTTAGCCACCATCATATGAAAACAGCCATTGGATTCAATGTCTTTAGACTACAGAACTAGGATTTGCCAGTGTAAGAAGCTGGTGAAATCTCAGCCCTAGCTTCATGATGTAGAGATATTGAAGCCTAGTTCACCAACCCCAAACTGAGAACATTAAGTATGGTCCATAGGCAGCGTGCACCGTGTCAATTTGTTCGTCCTGGGGATCAGTTTCCGCTTGACAGCTGTCATTCAGACAAGACTCTTGAGCTACTCATTTCTAAATCGCATCAAAGAGATTTGTAGTTGTCTTGACTGCATAAATTAAGCAATTTTGAAATTAAATGACTTTTGCAGAATGACATTCAACAAAACTTTCAATTGAGGCAGAACAATTAATAGTTATAGATATTTTAAAAGTTGTTTATATCCTAGCTAAAGAATTTCATTCTGGATGAAAAGTGACTGGAAATAAAATCTGTGTCATTTTAGCAGAAAATTGATCATTAAATGGTGAGACACCTCCCAATCCTTGTGTTGTCATGTATCCCTATGAGGGATATAATGGGGACATACACAGAATACAGTGTTCTTCTATTTTCTATTATCTATCTATCTATCTATCTCTCTATCTCTTTGTACCTGTCATCTATCTACTCATCATCTTAAGGAATAAATACAAGTTGATGGCATTTGTCAAGTGCAAATTTTGTGCAGAACTCAGTATTGCTAACCTTGTCTTACTTGGTTCTTTTACACTATTGTGATCAAAAACATTCAAGTTTTAGACTCATGCTGACTAGATCATGCCCGCCTGGTTCAAGACTGACAGTCCAAAGAAACAGCGTGGTCTGCTGAGTGGGCTGGTGGTTGGCTCTGGAGATGAACTTGCTGGTCACGTCTGGTAGCCCATGTCCTCTGCGAGCAGCGTCCTTCTCCCTCTTTCCCCACCACTTCATGGTGGTGCTCAGTCATTAGAGTTTGGCTTCAGCTGCTTCCAATTTCCGGATTGCACTGCAGCTGAACAGCTATAACAGGAGCCTTGCTCCACACTGAACTTGTCTATGATTGCGTTTGCTCTTTGTCCCATGAGATGAGCCCTGCAGGAGATCTAGCGCTCTTTGCCAAGCCTAAAATCCCAGTGTCCTCCCCTTGAGGCACTATCAGTCTGCTGCCACCACCTCTGCATGCTGCATTTGAGACTATCTGATTTATACAAGGTATCTCTCCTATGTGTTAGAAGGTGGGGTAAATTAGAAAAGTAAAAAGCACTTGCTCCAGAAGTGCCAGTAACTTATTGTGAGTTATAGTCCCAGATAAATCACTTCAAAGCTCTGGTCTTAAGTACCTTACTTGTAAAACAAATAGTTGATCATTTAGATGCATTAGCATACTGTAATAGGATAATGAAGTAAGAATACTCCGTTGCAAAGTAGTATATAAATTAGTGATGGAGACAAAATGCACATGCAGTACATGAATTGCCTAAAGCATATTTTTAACCAAGTATTTCACTAATGCAAATTGATGCTAAGAGTATAATGTATTAAAGGAGATGTGAAAGGGGATCTTAAGACTGGAAAGGGAGCCAGGTAGGCCACCAAGGAAGGCTTCCAAGGGAAGAAAAGCCACGCAGTGAGTGTAGAAGACAGAGAAGGACCTGGACTGAGGAAGAGCAATGGAACCACATTTCACACCAAAGATGAAAAAGTGCAAAGAATAAGCATGTGCAAGGGGCAGTTCGACGTGGGCCTGTGGCCAGAAAATAGCATCAGTGGTACCAGGAGAAGGCGAAGTCATTGCTGGTGAGTGTCAGATTAATGAGTGGCTGATTAATTTAGATAATATAAAATAAGATTTAAAATTTAATATTAAGTCCTGGGAAATTATATGATACCATCAAAAGGAGACTAATAAGAAGAGTGGCCTTTTGATCATATGATGTAAAAATGAGAAAGAGCAGAGACTTCTGCCAGGGAGTTGTAGCTGCTGAGTGCACGCGTATAAGCCAGCGAGTGTGGTTTGGTGTGACTTGAAGGTGTGCAAACACAAGACACTACCAGTCTTCATCAGGTCACACTTTGAAGTTCTGTTGTGTTCCAATAGACACCCAATGCAAGCAACATATGCAGTTTGACACGTGTGAGAAGCCACATTTTAAAAGTCAAAAGAAACAGGTGAAATAAATTTTAAGGAAAATTTTTATTAACCCAGCAGACCCCAAATATTACCACTTCAACATAGAATCACTATAAAGTCATTGCAATACTTTGTTCCTTTTTTAAAAAGTAAAATTGGAACTTAGTCTGTGCTTGACACATGCAGCACACTTTACTTAGCTGGAGTTGCCTTGTGTGGCTCGAGGCTACTCCACTGGACAGAGTAGCTCTAGTGATTGGTCCAAGAGGTTTCAAGAGTCCACCAGGTTTCATTTTCTCCTACTAAAATAAACAGTGGCTGCTATATGTATAAAGATTTGTACTTGTTCAGTAGTCTTTAGGACTGATTACCAAACAAAACAATCTTTTCCATTATTAAGTCAAATTCTAATAACAACAGTGGGAAC